CGTGTTTTGGAGAGAACTTCAGTTTAAATAACAACGTTATAGCAGTCATTCATGTAAAGTAACTACATTATGATTGAAAAATTGATAAAATAATTATTGAAATTTTCAAATTAAAGTGTTTATTATAGAAAATACTATAAAAATATGCTAAGTAAGTTTACTTTGGGTACATCACAAAAATATGGAGATTCAAGCTACTCGATTTCTTTAATCGTTAGAGATAAAAATTTGAAAATAAGCCACAATAAGTAGTATGAAGGAAAATGTCGATTTTTTAAAAAAATGACAAATTTGAAAAAAACTGCAGATTCGTAAATTTGCCATAGAGGTGACGATGTTATTCTACAATTAGTCCAAGGAAGCATAAATAAACAAACAACTAATAAAAACAATCTTGCCAGCGCACTTAAACGCAAACCACGGTGTTTACGTTACAATGATTACGAACCAGATCTCGATGAAGTCATTTGAAGGCAAAAATCCTGTGTTTGTATAGCATTAAATATTATAATGGGGGCCCCAAACGATACCTCGTCAGTAAATAAAGGGTTGACCCGAATTTATTGAGCTAACATATGGGCGTTTATATATTTTTTTTTAATTTCATCAAATATTCAGCCATAATGGTGATAGCTTGAGCAAACATTCGGATGAAAACAATCTATTAATATTAGATTTAGTGGATTTAAAATTAAGTCAAAAATGGGGTCCAAATACTTAATATTGCCTTAGATTTCGTAAATGAATACTTTTTTTTTAATGGATGATAATGGAATGGTAATACCACCCGCGCTATCGGTATACACCGGCGGGGCACTAGTGTAGGATGATAGGTGAGGATGAAGCAGGTCAATTAGCCCATCGTGACGAATTCAACAAGAATTAGTCACGATGGTTTCCAGAGGGGTACCACGTGGGTCGACCTAATAAGGCATATTGCTAGCAATGGGACTATCAAACTCCATTACTAACAATCCCTTTCTCCCCAAACGAAGAGGTTTAAAACAAAATCTACTAATATTATAATTGTGACAGTGTGTTTGTTTGTTTGTTCTTAGTGCCTTATCGGCTTAATCAATTGCTATAAAATTTGGTGTACCATAAGGAATGTCATAACAACCTAATACAAAAAGTTTGGGGGAAGATATATTTGTAACGGGGTTTAACAGGGGGAAAGGAATTGTTAGTAATGGAGACTAAAAATCCCATTGCTAGCAATATACCCAACCAGGTCGACCTCCTTGCAGTTCTTCCTGGAAACTATCATGGTTAATTCCTGATAAATTCATCATGATGGGCTAACCGACCTGTTTTCATTCTCATCGATCATCCATCACTGGTGCTCCACCAGCGTATCCCGTTAGCGATTTTATGTAGGCGAAGTTACCATTCCATTTTCATCACCAAAAAAAAAAGGGAACAACAACCCCATTATCAGAAATATATCCTAGCATGTCGACTTCCACGTGGTTCCCTCTGGAAATTATCGTGATTAATTCTTGTGGAATTGGTCATGATGGGAAAAGTGACCTGCTTTCATTCTCATCTATCATCAATCACAAGTTAGGTTACCATACCATAATCGTCCGTTAAAAAAATATATAAAAAGTTTACCTACATTCCTTTATCTTATCAGTTAGTGCTTTTAATTACCATTTTTTTTTAATTAACAAGTCTAATTTCGTTTATAGTCTCAGTATTTTTATTTCATCGTAGATATATTTTATCAACTTTTTTTTTTACAACTTAGAATGGCAAATAAGCTGACGGCCCACCTGATGGAAAGTGGTAACCGTCGCCTATAGACATGAGCAGCACCATGGACATAACAGAGTATACTGTTTCGCCCATGATACCCCTATGCGTTGCCATTCGTGAGGACTGAGATGTTATTCCTCTGTACCCTGTAAATTCACGCCATATTCCACCCTCCAAACCGAAACACAGCCATGCAAACACAACTGCTTCACGGTAGAAACACGAATGGGACAGAGGTACCCAAGCAATCGAATCAAGTACAAAGTCTCCCTCTGGTAAAATCTTTATCAACTCATGATAAATATCATATTTATCTTGATAATACACGTCTACCATACATTGATGCTCCTTTCTACTTTAGGCTTGCTGGAAGAGAACTCTTTTAGAGTTAAGTTAGCCTTTGTACATTTACTTACCTCTGTCATATTTTTATGCACAACTAGTGTGTACAATCAAGTATAAATAAATATATATACTTATTAACTTTTAATTTTTTTTGAAACAAAATTGTCTCAGAAAAACGTAACAAAATGCATTTAAGAAAAAATAGAATGAATAATTTTTTATTTTATTTTATTTTATTTTATTTGATACAAAAATCCACAGCTCTTAAAAAATAACTTACATGCTAAGTCTCTTATGAATACAGCTAATAACGGATTTTATTTATACAAACATAAATTTTGATTGCTAAAAATGTGATACAATAAGGTCATATGGTAATATTACAATGGTTTCACACATTTTGTCATTACTGACGTGCGACAGTCATTACAAAAGTTAAGACAAAATAATTCCTTAATATGTATTTTTTTATTTTTTATTATATAATATATGTATGTATATATTTTATTAAAGTTGCTATTTCTGTGTAGTTTTTTTTTCTGTTTCCTGTCAATTTGCTGTAAAATAATGAAATAAGCGAAAAAAAAAAATCGCAGCTCTAAATTAATCAAACTCGTGGAATCCGTGACCCATATCAAAGCGTAGTAACTCAAAAAATTGCAAAATCCATCACTCCCACCGACACGGTAGCGCGACATCCCGCGGTGTGCCCAGTGTCCAAGACCGCAGGGTTGCCATCGCAAAAAAGTACTGATTGATTTAGTAAAAAAAAACCGCACCGTTTCACTTTCTTTTGGCACCCGACGGACTCTAATTTTGCACGCTCACTCAACAGGCTTGTCAAAAATCACAGAATAAAAAATAAACTTGACATGTGATAGTTAGGAAGAAAATATAAGAATATATTTCTACAATTTCTATAGCAATTTATAGTTTAGTATAAATATTTAATATATTAATTTCTTTGTCGATCAATAATCGATTTTAAAAAATCTAGAACATCAAAATTGCACAACTTGCTATGTCTTACATGATATATTTTAGAATACGAGTGCGTGTATGTGTGCGTGTGCGTGTGCTTGTGCGTGTGCTTGTGCGTGTGCGTGTGCAAGTGTGTATGTGTGTGTGTGTTTGTATACATTAGTATCTATATAATGGTCCGCCACCTACCCTTTGTCTTTTTTTTGTCTTGACTTGACACTACCTTTTGTATTATTTCTCATTAATATTTACTGTATCTATTGCTTTTTTTTACTTGGTGCATAAAAGTGTAAAATAAATAATTAAATAAATAGAATTATAATTATCAAAAGAAGAAATATCACCAAAACTGCACTTGTAAATTGGATACAATGAACAAATAAGTAACGAGGTGCCTCGTCAGGAAAGTATGCTCATCTTCAATCTCATATAATATATAATTTGCAACATACCATGATGTTGCTTGTTACATTATTTTGTTTTATTACTTTCCCGTGAGACGTTGCTTAAGAAACAGGATGTTCTGATTAAGTCATCACGCAAATGTGTCACAATCAACACTTTGTCGTCATTGTCAATGATTTTGGCTCATTTTCTCAGTTATACATATGTATGTTTGTGAAATCGGAGGTTTAAAGTACCTCATCATCAATACTTTTTAATACTATTTCTCCTGAAGTAATGTTTTTTTTATGCAATTTAGAATGGCAAACAAGCTGGCGGCCCACCTTATGGAAAGTGGTAACCTCCGCCTATAGACATGAGCAGTACCGTGGATATAACAGAGTATACTGTTTCGCCCATGATACCCCCCATGCGTTGCCATTCCTGAGGACTAAGGTGTTATTCCTCTGTACCCTGTAAATTCACTGTCATACTCCACCCTTCAAACCGAAACACAGCCATGCAAACACAATTGCTTCACGATAGAAACACGAATAGGACAGAGGTGCCCAAGCAAACGATTTTTTTACAAAGTCTCCTTCTGGTAAAATTAACAAGTGTAATTACTCAAGTTATTTTATTTTAAAAACTATTAGTAACAAATAATAACAATAACAAGAAAAAAAAAAAAACATATAAGTCAATTATAAAAATCTCTCTAATTCGATTGAATAAAAAAAAAAGTTTTTCACACTAGCGACCGCGAATAATGAAACGACGGGATGCCTACATTCTAAATTTAAATTGATCTCCCAACAAAAGCACCCAGCAGTTTGTGCCTTTTCGGGACCACCATAAAGAATGACATTTGAAGAAATTGTGATTGTATTAAAAAAAAAAACTTTAAATTTGTACTTATATCACTTCTGACGCGGGCTTCCGAATTAACAAATTAATTAGGTTATAACTGACTTGTAAATTTAATTAACATTGTTCAGCGATGCGTGAATTGCTTATACTATTAATATTCGATGGTATTTTTTTTTTATATTTGACACATTATAACTCCTATATATATATACTCCTATATATATTACCAGAGGGAGACTTTGTACAAAAGTCGATTGCTCGGGTACCTCTGTCCCATTCGTGTTTCAACCGTGAAGCAGTTGTATTTGCATGACTGTGTTTCGGTTTAAAGGGTGGGATATTGCGTGAATTTACTGGGTACAGAGGAATAACATCTGAGTCCTCAGAAATGGCAACGCATGGGAGGTATCATGGGCGAAACAGTATACTCTATTATGTTCATGGTACTGCTCATGTCTATAGGCGACGGTTACCACTTTCCATCAGGTGGGCCGTCAGCTTGTTTGCCACTCTAAGTTGTATAAAACAAAAACACATATAATCTTTTTTAAAATTCAATTAAATATATAAACACTTACTTTATTATCAAAAAATATATACTCATTTATTACCTTAACTTTTTCTCCAAAAAAGATAAATAAAAGAGAAAAAAAAAGTGACAACCTGCCACAACTAGAAAATTTAACAATAAACGTAATCATATTTTCCGAAAAAAATAGTAAATTATATTCGAGTTAGAATGTTTGTGACATAAATACCTGTAATAAATGAATTCAAGATGGCTTCCAATGTGACCAGGGTTGCCGATAATATCATAAACGATACAAAACAATCTGAAACGAATCCGATGATAACATGTACCAGAGAGAAATTGGAAGAATCACGTTTGAATGATGAAGTAAATTCAGTTTTGTTTTGTTCTTTTTAAGCAAAACGGTGGAGATGCTCAATTCGTCAGTTGTGTTTGCATGGCTGTGTTTCGTTTTAAAGGGTGCGATATGGCGTGAATTTACTGGGTACAGAGGAATAACACGTGAGTCCTCAGCAGTGGCAACGTATGGGGGTTATCATGGGCGAAACAGTATACTCTGTTATGTCCACGGTACTGGTCATGTCTATAGGCGACGGTTACCACTTTCCATCAGGTGGGCCGTCAGCTTGTTTGCCACTCTAAGTTGTATAAAAAATAAAAACAAAACAGAGGTCGACTTCCTAGGCTTATTCATGACGATGGGCTAACTGACCAGCCTTTGCATCATCATCTATCATGTCCCACTAGTGCTCTACCGGCGTACACTGTTAACGTGAGCGGGGTTCTCATTCCCTTGTTATACATTAAATACTGGGAATTGAACCCGGAACCTCATTACGCTTTACCATCACGCCTACCATTGGGCTACAGAGGTCGCTGATTGTAAAGAACGTTACTTTAATTTTAGATATATGAAAGTGCTGCGTCTTCGTACACGTTTGGAAGCGGTCGGAGTCAGTTCAGCAGTGCACTGGACACCTGGTTGGGAAGCGCCACAGAGAGCACGGGGGTGCAGGGCAGTAGGTACTTGAATGCACTGATGGAATTGCCATCATTTTAATTAGGTTCCCATATTAATCCCTTTTAAAGTTAAAAAAGGGATTTCATTCGTTCGTCTTTTTCTTAAGGTCCCTTGACCATTAGGGAATAATTCGCCATGCCCATGGTGATGTTCATGTCTATAGGCGACACGGTTACCACTTTCCATCATGTGGGCCGTCAGCTTGTTTGCTGTTACAAGTAATTTTTCTTGTAACAGCGACTTCTTAAAAAAAAAAAGACGTTCCTTAATTTGTATTGTAAAATCTTTAAACAAAATTTTATTGATATATTGTAAAATCTTTTTGTACATAATTTATATTGAATGGACCATTAAAAGATTTAATATACAACCATGTCTATAGGCAAGTACCAGTTTCCACCAGGTGGGCCGTCAGATTGTTTGCCATTCTAAGTCGCATAAAAAAAGTCATTCTAAATTGCATAATGGAAATATTTCAACAGGGTGCCTGTAGCCCAGCGGTCGACTCTCGCCACCCCTTCTACAATCGACGCGTCAGGCCTGTGGTACATTCTGGCGATGGTGCTGCCCCTGTTCAGCGTGAACAACTTGCAGCCAGTCTGGAGGTGCACACCTAGGTATATTTACTTGCTTTCCTTGCATTTGATTGGCAATATCAGTCAATTTTGTTTCAACAGAATTGTTCCAACAAATCCACATTGCCCTCTGTCTTTGTCACTTATATAAGATCTTTTTTTTTTTTTAACATAACCCTTTATATGATATTAAAACTATTTGTTTTAATACTTATTAATACGAACTCACTTTCTTCTTTGCTTCGAACAATCTTTTTTAAGATACCGTTATTGTAATATCAATTCTACTATTTTTTTTTATCATCAAAACACTCATTAATTTATTAAAAAAAAAAAAAAAATTCTTACATCCAATTACAGGATTATTGTAAAATTTAAATGTAAAATATATTCTGAATAATTATAAAGTTATTGTATGTAATTAATAACAACATTTAAAAAATCACTTTTAGGAACCGACGGCTGTTACGTACCCGACGACAGTCCGCAACAGCCGTCAAAGGGCGACCACTTCTTTATTCATCCCCGAAGTTAGTCGACCGCGCTTAAATGCATTATACCAACGATACACGGTTGCCTTAGAAGGGCCTTCATCCATGAATGCCATTTGAAGTCTATCGTACGATTCGTCCAGTATCAGGCGACACCTAAAATCGTAAAAAATCATAGCGCGAAAATGTTCTCGACGCAAATCCATTTTTCAATGAGACACGGTAATTTTAATTACCTCGCAAAAAATGTGGAGGGAAGTTTTGAATTTAGAACGTACCTATTTTTACTTATAACATATTTTTAAATAAATTATAACTGGCCAGTCTCACATACATAAAATCTTATTCTCGCAATACTTTCTGAGTGACCTGGTATTATCTATGGTATAGGTATGGTCTATCCCTACAAAAATCTAGCATTTTAAAATCTGCCGCAACTAGAGCCATCTATATTGTTATTGCGGTATCTTTTAGTGGATACATGCGGTGCGTATCAATCGCGTCGCGTATTTCAAAATGCTTGTCTGCAATAGGAACGAGCAAAGCGAAACAGCCACATTCCATTGGTTCGAATTTCTGTTACGAGATGGCGTTAAAACGAATAGTGCGTTTAAGATTTAAAATTACAATTAAAAAAATTCAATAAAGATATTATTGAATTTATTTTATGGATAATAATACAATGGTAACCCCGTCTGCGCTATCGGTATATGCTGACGGGGCACCAGTGAGAGAATATACCATAAGTAAGGATGAAAATAGGTCAGCCCACCGTAACACATTCATTTTGGGGGGAAAGGGATTGTTAGTAATGGACTGAGAATCCCATTGCTAGCAATATACCCAACCAGTTCGACCTCCTCGCGATTCTCCCTGGAAACTATCATGGTTAATTTCTGATGAATTCATCATGATGGGCTAACTGGCCTGTTTTCATTCTCATCTATCACCCTTCACTGGTGCTCCACCAGCGTATCCCGTTAGCGCAGACGGAGTTACCGTACCATTTTCACCCATAGAAAAAAAACACATTCATCTACTACGATGTTTTATAGAGGAAACCGCATGGAGGTCGACCTGATTGCCTATATTGGTAACAATGTGGGCGTTAAACCTCATTCCTAACAATCCTCTTTCCCCCCTCCTTATTGGGGTTGTCGGAGCCATTTGTTTACTATTACCGTTTTGATAAACGTAACATTCGAGAAGGGGATAAAGATTGTAAGTAACGGGGACGTTACTCCCCATCGCTAGTAATATGGTTATATTATTATTCTCGTCTTAGTGCCTCTCCCATTCATAATATACTGTGACACCCATTGTACCTTTCATATGCTTTTATACTCTCAAAGTCAAATTATAGTCAACGTGTTACGCTTTTCCTCAGTACAATATTGAACACAGCTGAGCTGTTCTTCACACAGTTGGCAAGTGTCTGCGAGACGGTCAAGAATCGCATCCGACGACTGGCCCAAGACGAATACGCTAGAGACGTGTTCGCTACCATGATGGACGTAGTTCTTGTTGTTTACGCCATGGGATACCTGATGCTTTCCATTTACCAAGCAACCATTATCGTGTAAATTATTCTAACTTATTCTGAACTAAGTACAGTTAAATTTAAATTGTGGTAGTTATAAAATAATGAGAAATACCAATACACTATAGGAGAACAAATGTGTGTGTTTTTTTTTAATATTTTTAGGGTTCCATAACTTCAAAGGGAGACTTTGTACAAAAGTCGTTTAATTGTAGATAGGTAGATAGATAGATAGATAGATACTCTTTATTGTTTCCTCCAAAAGATTACAATAGTAAACTTATTATAAATATAAACAATTACAAGAAATAATCACAATGAGAAAACAATGGGCGTCCTTATAGCTAAGAGCGATCTCTTCCAGGCAACCTTTGGACGGAGAGGAGTAATTATAAACAATCTGTACCTCTGTCCCATTCGTGTTTCTACCGTGAATCAGTTGTGTTTGTATGGCTGTGTTTCGGTTTGAAGGGTGGGATATGGCGTGAATTTACTGGGTACAGAGGAATAACACCTGAGTCCTCAGGAATGGCAACGCATGGAGGGGTGTCATGGGCGAAACAGTACATAATACACTCTGTTATGTCCATGGTACTGCTCATGTCTATATGGTTATGTCAGTTGCCAAGACGCCTACCAAGCGTGGCAGTTATTGGCAAAATCTCTCCTTATGGGGAGGCTTATTTTTAGCAGTGGATAATTAACAGCTGGTCTGACGATAATGATCAACTAATACATACATAGATATATATGAATACTGGCCGTGTGGTCCCGGCATAGAATAGGCCACCCCTTTCTTTCCTGTGTGTCGTAAGAGGCGACTGAGGGAACTTAAAGATCGATGGATGGGCAGCAGCGTCCCTCTTAAAAATCACCAAAACCTAACTACAGCTGCCAAGACGCCTACCAAACGTGGCAAACTTCCTTAATGGGGAAGGCTTAAGCTCAGCAGTGGCTAATTAACGGCGCATATAATGATAACGATGAAGTAGTATATATATATATATATATATATATATTTTTTTTTTTTTTATGGGTGAAAATGATATGGTGACCCCGCCTGCGCTAACGGGATACGCTGGCGGGCTGATAGATGAGTTAGTCCATCATGATAAATTAACCATGATTCATCAAGAATTAACCATGATAGTTTCCAGGGGGAACCGCGAGGAGGTCGACCTGGTTGGGTATATTGCTAGCAATGGGATTCTCAGTCTCCATTACTAACAATCCCTTTCCCCCTTTATATACTGTATATAGGCACTACGACAGAGATGATTTTATTAAATAGTATTTTTTTATTATTAATATTACACGTGGCAACACAACGCGGGCTAAATTAGTATTTCCGTCTATCCGTCACAATCTATATTCAATAGCGACTTTAAATTTACCAATGACGGATTATTGGTATAATATTAATAGCAAGACCGTATGTGTGTATGTTTGTAAATTAATTCTGTAACAGACGTGTCGGTATGTGGATATTATTCGCGTTCGTTGTCCAAATAATTTGGCTGTAAATCTGTATGGTAAGTCACAACTGTGGAATGTTTTGGTGGTTCTATGTTTTGTATTGATAATTGTTCAAATTGCACTGTGCAAGTGCAAGGAATTCGTGTAACGCGCACGACGGAGCTGTGGTACAATGTGTACAAACAATAATTTAAGATTTCCACAAAAAACTGACTACAAATTTTTTTTTATTTCAAAACTAAAACCGATTTCGATATAATTTTGAGATGAGACCAATCTGTAAGTATATCCTTATAGATTATACATTCTCTGATTGCTCACTAGCCAGATATTGATATATTTCATGACAAATCTATATATGTGTATATAAAAATTAATGCCACTTTTCGTTGTAATTTTATAACTTCTTAATTTTATAATTTTATAACTCTTCACCTATCCAAACCAAATGTTTAGACTTTGTTCGAACTATTTAGTAGATGGATTATATGAAGTTTGCACATAATCGCTCGAGCGGTTCTTCATTTATCACATTTTTTGTAACAAACGAATTCAATAAATGGCGGATCATTTTGTTAATGGACGATTTTTGTGTCAAATTCAAACTTTTTTTTTAAGATGGGGATTGTGCTGTCAAATTGAAACTTTTTTCAGTGTTGACAGTACAAGCATGTTGTTATGTCATTCATGCGGTCATTTCACTTTGGACGTGCTTCGATTAAAGAAAATTGTCAGCGATATTAATTTTACAATTTTTTTTATTATTTCACTTTATACGTAGCGAAGCACCGCCGGGCCGCTAGTTAGATATAGTTTTTAAATGTTGTTAAAATTTTTTAAGTTTGTAAAATAAATCTATAGCTCTCTACACGTTTTGCGATACTGTAAGTGTGGCGAGCAATTTATAAATGAATAAATAGATAAAAAAAAATCTAAATCGATTCATAAATGACGGAATTATGCGGCGGTGATTAATAAACATGAAAAAAAAGCAACCGAATTGAGAATTTGCTTTTTGAAGTCGATTGACAATATTTTTTATGTACTTATTACTTGCAATGACAAACAAGATGGCAGGTTTTCTTATGGTAATAGAGTACATCGTATTTTCCCCCTTAATCTCTTTTTTTATTACTATACCAGCTGTTAACTGTCCACTGCTGGACATAGGCCTCTTTATAAAGGACTGTGGCGTATTACTGGCCATCACAATACGCCTTTTATATAAACTGGCCATCATATTTCGTCTGACATATTTTTATATTTCTATTGTTCTTATGTTTTTACAATTCTGTCATTATTAGTCTTTGTTTTCCTAACGATGAAGACGTGATAAAAGAGAACTACAATATTAAGCATTTTATTTATCAACCCGTTTCTCTTAAGGACGCTTGGCAGGCGGGTTGGCAACCGCAGTTAGGATTTGAGAATGTTTAAAAAGGACGCTGCTGTCCATCCCTCGACCATTAAGTCCCTTTAGTCCCCTCTTACGACACCCACGGAAAAGGAAGAAGTGGCCTATTCTATGCCGGGACCACACGGCAATCTTCTCTTACGACGAATAAAAACAAAATGACAAATAAATGACATGCCATATAATCCCACCAATTATCTGCTCCTCAAGCTAGGTTATCCAGTATTATGAGGAACCAGACAACCAACATCTAGAGATCCAGAATCTCTCAAACCGAGAATCGAGCCCGGGACCACATTTACTCAAAACAATACGCTCACCGCTACGCCACGGAGATGGTCAGTAACAGGACTACAAATTCATTGCTAACATTAATTTTTTTTACAAAATTATATTCTATGTTAATATATCTTATACTTTGTATTATTCTCAATTTCATGTATAATATAGTATATATCATATATGTGTAAGTATATTTGTTATTTACATATATTTATTCGTTTATATATGTAATTTTAGTATGTATGTATATCAATAATTAGTAGTACCGCATTCGAGTATTCTGACACTTGCCTACAGTTGACTGGGAGAGAACGCTTTTAGCATTAAGTCCGCCATGTACACATATTTGTACTAATGAATAAATAAATAAATAAATAAATAAAATATTCTTACAAACAACCAAATAAACATTTACATTATAATAATACATAAGGATTAATAAGGATTTTTTCGGATACTTAATTTTTATTTTTAATACAAATAATTAATGAGATGAGTTTCGATTCACAATATCACGGATTAAGAATAGTATTCTTTTAATTGCAAAAAAACTGCATTTTCAATTGCATATCTGTTCATTAGAATAAAAATTTGAATTTTTTTTATGCAACTTAGAATGGCAAACAAGCTGACGGCCCACCTGATGGAAAGTGGTAACCGTCGCCTATACACATGAGCAGTATCACGGACATAACAGAGTATACTGTTTCGCCCATGATACCCCCCATGCGTTTCCATTCCTGAAGACTCAATTGTTATTCCTCTGTACCTTGTAAATTCACGCCATATCCCACCCTTCAAACCGAAACACAGCCATGCAAACACGACTGCTTTACGGTTGTAACACGAATGGGACAGAGGTACCCAAGCAAACGACTTTTGTACAAATATATAAATAAATAAAATATCTAGAATACTTCAGTAATTAATTGCCATTAGGTTTTATATACTATAGGTGCTTAGCAACACACGTGCTGAACATTACAATCGGCAAGTGACTGTCTATACAAATATCACAGGAACAAGACGACAAGATGTTGCGAGAAGGACAGAACGAGTAACACCGCTAGCCAATGGACGTCGGGCGGGAAAGAGACAGCGCCACTGCGGTTAGAGTAGGATGAAGTAATGCTTGCCTATAAATTGCGGAGAATTCTGTAAATAAATCAGTCGGAAAACGATTCCTATTCCGACGGCCGACGGTGACGCACGCGGCATCATAGGCAATCGCAAATCCATTGTTATCCATTGTTATTCGAACATCCTCGTTATCATTATCATCATCGTTTAACCGCCATCGAAGTTAGGTTACTTCGCCGCGTTTTTTCGAGAAATTGCTCCCGCGATTCGCGTTAGCATAACGGCCGGCCGTTCCGCGAATCAGTGTTAGAAAGTGTTTGTGCTTTTGTGTTGTGGACTAGTGCAGTGAGTGGAGTAGTGCACCGGACTGCAGTGTGGTGGTGTGCTGTGCTGAAGGCACTGCTGTGCTGAAGGCGCTGCACGCCGGCTCCCAGCCGGTGCAGGCGACTAGCGCCGCTACACATAAGCGGGTTGCCATCGCAGGCAACAACACATCGACACCCGGTATCGAGACAATACAGGTATCGTGCTAGGATAATAAGTAATTACTATTGCATCATCGTCCGTTAAAACCGTTAGGCACACACCCCCCCTGCCCCTCGCGGCGGGGAGGAAAACAAACCGTCGAGCGGCGGCTTCGCCCGCCATCTTGACATACTCTCCAAAGGCCTATTAGTAGTAAAATTTTTATTTTAACTAATTTTAATTTTTAGCTTTTAATTAAAATTGATAACGATTAAATTTTTTTTAATTCAGTGCTATTCTTATATAATTACACCCGACTCCAGTTGGGTGACAATCATATTAGAATAATTTTTCCTATTGGGGGTCGACTGTGCCAGCATGTCGCTGACGCAGGAAGACCTCCCGC